GGGGGGATGGCCACACCGCAATCCCTTCTCCTCCATTCTCCTCTTGTACATGCGCCCGGTGTGAGTTTAAGCCACCGAGTCCAGACTCGAACCGCGGTCAACTATGTGGGAGTCCAGCGACATAGCCATTACGCTAATTGCTGGTCCCGAAGTTGACATTTTTATTTTTAAGAGGCTCCTGGGGTTGAGAGTTGCAGAGTGCTACTCAAGCACACCAGAGGCATATGAATATTAATTTGTAAAATGTTCACCTTGGACCTCGAGGCAACTGAAGACAATTGCTCATATGTTGATAGGCTCAGAAATTCTGAGACATATTCTGTCATTAGATTGAGTCTGTGTTCGATGGATTACATTTTCTGCTGATAATAGAGTCCAAGGGCTCCACTCCGATTAGGCATGAATCTAGTACAGACATCAAATAATAGTTGTCATTTGTATTATAGTGTGTGCCACTTAGCAGCAGCCTATAGATTTCTTATTATTGTTCAAAGAATAAATCTGTTAAAAGCTCATCCATTGAATTGGAATCTATGAGCCTTTTTATTTTTTAAGATATTTTTTACTATAGGGTGCATGTGCTCACTGGAGAGACAGAAAGTGAGAAATCACCCCTGCAGGGATGGCCACCACAATCCCTTCTCCTCCACTCTCCTCTTGGGATTCTGGGCATGTATGCATAGGTGCCCAGTGTGAGGTTTTGTTTGTTTTTGTTGTTGTTGTTTTTTAAGAATTATTTCATTCAACTCTATTTATTTGTTTGTTTGTTTTTTTAATTTGACCAGAGAGGGACAGAGTGGGCAGGGGTGTTGAAAAAGTAAGCCACCAGGTCCAGGACTTGAACCGCAAGTCAGCCATGTGGAAGTCCAGCATCCTTAACCACCACACCACCTGTTGGCCCCCCCAGCATGAGCTTTTAGCCACCTGTTCTGGGACTCAAACTACAGTCGACTACATGGGAGTTCAGTGATGTAATCTTTTATAGCATCTGCTGGTCCCCTATGAGCTTTTTTAATAGGATTTTTGAAAGGAAATGGAAAATTTATGGCTTCTCAAAAATACCCTGACATGGGAACCAGCAGTTAGCGTAATGGCTATGTCGCTGGACTCCCACGTAGTCGACCGCGGTTCGTGTCCCGGACCCGGTGACTTAAAACTCACGCCGGGCGCGTGTGCGTGCGTGCCCAAGATCCCGAGAGGAGAATGGAGGAGAAGGGATTGCGGCGTGACCATTCCCCCTGGGGGGTGATTTCTCGCTTTCTGTCTCTA